TATATATATTGACCATTTCTAATGAATAAAATACACCTCTTTGTATTGCAACTCTCGTGACTCAACCACGAAACATAAACCTTCCCCTTGTGGACAAATACATAGCACATGTATAGATTAATTTAATATCTAAATTAATTGGAAGGGTATATATAGGATCATTCTTGAAACAATCATACTATAAATTATAATAATGAAATCTACAGAAAAATGAACACTTTATTTCACAAATTAAAAAGTGGAGGTAAAATATATTATAATTAATGATCGAGCTATTATAATGCAACTTGCATATTTTTTTCTCATTCATTGTAATTACCAACCTCTCATTGTGGCCGCCATATGATGATTACTTGCTCTTCTCATGCTATAAGTGTACTAAAAAGGATTAAGGTGCATTTTTACTTTTAAATTATTCTTTGAATAGCACTAAGTATCTTAATTTTTTTGTGAAAGCAATTTCATCCCTTAAAGTAATTAAAACATAGCATATTTGCATTTGACGTTAAATACCCCAACGTTAACCATTAAAAATGCTAAGACTTAGGTTTAACCGAAAATGCCACATATCATGTCAAGTGAATCCAAGTTAAGGTGTATTTTTGTCCTGAACTACTCTTTGAGAAACACACAGTATCCTAAACTATTTGCATCATAACAATTTTGCTTCTAAAATAATTAAAATGTAACGAAAATGCACTTTAATTTGGATTTATTTGACATGATAGGTAGCTTATTTGGTCAAACTTAAGTCCTTATCAGCATTTTTAATGGTCAACATTGGGGCATTTAATGTCATGGGCAAATATGTTATGTTTTAATTACTTTAAGGGTAAAATTGCTACTACAAATAATTTAAAATATTGAGTGCTCCTTAAAGAATAGTTCAAGAATAAAAATGGACCTTAATCTTGCTAGTAATTAAGGACAGAAAGACTAAAAATAAATCATATTTGGCCACGGAAACTTGATTCAAATTAAATAATTTATGGTGTTACAAAAACTATAAAAGTACAAAAGCACAAACAATGAAAAATTATTTTATATTAAAAAAACATAGATAGCACATAACGCACATAAAGTAATTCTGTATTTAAAATTACACAGCACATGTGCAGGTTAATTTAATATCTCTGAATATGAATTGGAAGACTATGTGTATGATTATTCTTGAAACAGTCACACTATAAATTATAATAATGGGCTCTGTAGAAAATGAATATTTTATATCGCAAAATATTAAAAAGTTGAGGTAAAATATATTATAATTAACGATTGAGTTATTATGATGCAACTTGCATATTTTTCTTCTCACTCATTATAATTACCAACCTCTCATTGTGGCCGCCACATGATGACTTGCTCTCCTCATACTATAAGTGTACTAGAAATTAAGGAAAAATATATTGTAAATTAATATTTGGCCACGAAAACTTGATTCAAATTATATAATTTATGGTTTTACCAGAAATATAGAAGTACAAAAGCACAAACAATGGAAATCGAAGCATTTTGTGTCTGCCACTAAAACTGCAACTCTATATTTTTATGTCCACCACATTTTTCAAATGCTGCCAAGCATACCCCACTTCAACAATTTTTCACTTGGTAATAAACTAACTAGCATTTAGTCACTTACACCAAAAAAAAAAAAAATACTATCAAGAACGGTTGTAGGAAGTTTTTTATGCCAGTTCTAGAATCAGTGTAGAAACCATCTAAAAGGACATTTGGTATAAGAATTGTAAGCGATGAACATGAAATAAGATGTTATACCTTACAAATTGCAATGATGTGGATCTCAGTGATGGCACGATGAGAGCATAAAATATTAAAATATTAAAAAAGCCTTTTATTTAAAGATTAGAAGATGAATCATGAATATATGGATATATAAGTTTAGAAAATATCTAACCAAATAGTTTAAACTATTTCGGTATAGTAGACTATACTTAAATATACTTAATATAAAAAATCTAATATGGTATTATGAACCATTCGATTGGGGACAAAAAAAACAAGAGAGAGAAAAAAAAGAAAAAGAATGAAGAATGAAAAAAAATACAAGACATTAAAAAAAGAAAAGAGAGAAGGAGAAGAAAAAGAAAAAAAAATTGAATACACATGAGGCCTCGGAGACTTAAAAAAGTATAAATTCAGGCAAGAAGAAAAAGAAAATGAAAAAAATTGAGAAAAAAAGTAGTAAAGAAAATATTAGAATAAAAAAAAAGTTTCACGTCCAAAGATTAAAAAATGAATCATAGATATATAAGTTTAAGAAATATCTAATCAAATAATTTAAATTATTTTGATAGAGTATAATATCCTCAAGCATACATAATATAAAAAATTTAATATAAAAAAGACTTGGAACAACAAGGAGAAGATGACCAGCATAGAGAAGTGGACGATGTGAGGAAGAAGACAAGTGACCAGCGAGGGTGTAAAGCCCTTGATAAAAGTGCGATAAATCAAATCTACGTTAAAGGCACAAAAGAGGAGGAGGGTTTTGGCGGAGAAATTTTACACTTGTTATTATATTAACTGGTGTAGAACCCTTAATAAAATTATTTTCATTTTTTTTAATAATCAGTATAGGAAGTAAAAAAAAAAACCACAACTTATTTACAAAATTACTACTCTTCATAGTTTTTATATACCGATTAAAATTTTGGACTTTTTACTCTGATTTTTTTAACCGATGTAAAATCATGTATGTACCTTTTGGAAAAAGAGTGGTGGTAGAATTTAATTATGGAAGAGGTCAACGCAATGTTTGCATAAACTTGGAAGGCAAAAATGTGAAAAACTTGAACAATATTAAGAAAAAAAATTAAAAATTTAGAAAGTCATGAACTCAACCAGTCTCTCCCTCCTCTACGATGGTTATCAATTAAGTACCCGTTTAGATTTCAGTTGAATATAATAGATTATAAAAATAATTAATTAAATAATAAATTTTAATCATAATTAATTATGTTATAATCTAATCTGTTTAGATACTATTTTTTTAAAATTAATTTTAACAGAATTAAAAATATTTAAAGAATTTATTTAGAATCAATTTTAACTGTATAAATTATCATAAAAGACATTACGTTTTAAAATTAAATTATTGATAAATTTGTATATAATATTGTTAAAGTTATTACATTTTATTTAAGAAGTAAAATATATTATTTAAATTATATATCTAATTAATTAAAATATTTAAATTATATTAATATTAACATTTAAATTTACATAACTAAATACTCTCTCTGTTAAAAATGTAAAGTATTTTTAATTAAATGTTACCCTAATAAAGTAATTACTTACTTTTTAACTAATCCTATCTTTTCATATTTACTTCTATTAAATATCCTACAATAAATATAAAGTTATTATTAATAGGGACACTTTTAAAAAAAATAAGGATTACAACTCAAAAGACTAAAAATTTCTTATATTTTTTAATATCTAACTCCTCAAAAATGACTAACATTTTTGAACGGAGGGAGTAACTCAATATATTTTAGTTAAAGTAAATTTAATAAAAAAAATATTTAATTCTTAAATACTAAACATCAATTTTACAATAACCAATGAAGATGATAATATACAAATTAATTTCTAATTATATCATAGATATGAGCCATAGCTAACGAAAATGTTAAACACTACCTTAAAATTTTGGTAATATAAAAAATATAGCAATGTAACAAATGACACAAAATCTCTCTCTCTCTCACTCTCTGAACCTTTACAACAATCTTTGTAATGACTCTCAATTTAAAATTAAATTAAATTAATTTTCATCTAACAATTAATATTTTATTTAAATTAGTTTTATAGTAAATGCTAAGCAAAGGATGGTAGTTAATATAAACTTATACTAGCAATTTTTTTGAGGATCCAAAATTTAAATTTTACTAAAAAAGAATTTATTTTTATTTTTATTAAATTCTGCATCTTTCTTATAATTTTTTGGGCCGTATTGTATAATTTTTTCACATGCTTTTTTTATCAACTTTTTGATAAGCTTTTCTTCTCTTTTGAACGCAAAAGAATGCAAAAGCTATGCAAGGGAACTTATGAAAAAAATTAATTTTTCTCCTAACAATCGATTACATGTCTAACTGATGTTTGGGTATTTTTGCGGAAAATTAATTTGTTTAACTAAAAAGTCAATTATTTTACTTATCCAAACATGCACTAAATAATTTAAACTCAAGTAGTCAAATTCAATTGTCTCAATTAGGGATAAGTTCTCATAATGCACAAGTTTTTTTTTTCTAAATTTAAACTCGATCATTTTGAGAATTGTTGAATATCTTACTATTTTGAGAATTTAAACTCAATCAATTTTTTTAAAACTAAACAAACAGTCAGACTGGACGGACCGTCAACCGATCAGGCTAACAGCTCAATCAAGTCAAAAAAATCATTTAAAAAGTTGGGCCAGGTCAGACCACGTTGGATAGACTTATGGATTGAGAACTAAGATCAAGCTAGAAACCAGTTAGATCTTGTTCTTAAAAGCTAGACGGCTCAAAAAATGACCCTTTTTCTTTTTAATTTTTTAATCATTTTTTAAAAAAAATGACCCATTTTTTAATCATTTAATATTATATTGTATTATGTGGCTTGTTAAATAATAATAGACTTAAAATATTTTAGTTTTATTTTTAAATTAAATAACAATTTCATATTTATTTTTTATATTTAAATTATTATAAATATATAATTTTTGTAATTTAATTATCACGTTATTGATTCCTCGACTATTGATTCAATTCAATTAGCCCATACGAACATAAACTATTGGCGTTTTCGATTTAATATTTGATTCGATTCGGCAAGAATCATGAATTGGTCACTCGCTCCAAAGTCCAAACCCTACAATGGCAAATCTGTAATTAAAGCATATACCAAGTGCATATCCATATCACAACTATTCCATCTTCATATATTTATAGCCGACATGTTGCCACCCTCAAGTGACCAACTGAACACAAACACACAAGGCTTCACTCTCTTCCGAAAAATGCAAACCAAACCATTGACGTTCCCTCTTCCTCCTCCTCCTCCATTAATTCCCTCCACAAAATCATCTACGGCGAACCAACCTCTATTATCTCCGGCCACCACCGTGCCTCGAGCTATATCAATCACCACACCAGACCCTCGAGTGGCGGTGCCGGTGCCTGTGCCGGTGCCGCCAACCATAGAGCTTGATGATTCTATAGCTGCCTTTTGGGACTACCAATTCCTATTTGTTTCCCAACGCCAAGAAACGATCCAACCAGTAACCCTACGCGTCGTCGACGGGGCGATACCGGCTGACTTCCCGTCGGGCACGTATTATTTGACAGGGCCGGGGCTTTTCTCCGACGACCATGGCTCTACAGTGCATCCGCTAGACGGTCATGGATACCTGCGAGCGTTCAGCATCGATAATGTGAGTAAGAGAGTGAAATATATGGCCAAGTACGTGAAGACGGAGGCTCAAGTGGAGGAGCACGATCCCAAGACCGACACGTGGCGGTTTACACATAGGGGCCCATTTTCTGTGTTGAAAGGTGGAAGGAAGGTTGGGAACACGAAGGTCATGAAGAATGTGGCTAACACTAGCGTATTGAGGTGGGGAGACAAGCTTTTGTGTTTCTGGGAAGGTGGAGATCCCTATGAGATCGAATCTGGTACGTTGGATACCGTCGGGCAGTTCAACATGATCGACGGCTCTGATTCAAATCAGGGCAAGACCAACCTTGATGGTGATGCATGGGAATTCGCTGCCGGACTCTTGAAGCCTCTTTTGTATGGTACGTTATCTTGCTCTATTTATTCCATAAATTAATATATGTATATGTATTTATGTATGATTTCTTTTATTCCATTACTCGGCATATATCCTGAAAAATTTGGAATAGTACCACTTCCTATCCATTATAATCCAAACCCCTATTATGTAAAATTGTTATTAGTAATGATAGCCTCATGAGTATCTCAGCGGCATCTTAAACTTGAGATTCTAGGATGAGATGATTTATATTTCTTTCTTAATTGAGTCAAGCACCTTTTGATGTGTATGTATGTATGATATACAGTGTATGAGCAGCATAATTAATATTAAGCTTTCTTGCAAAACTTGAGCTCACAATATGTTGTCAATAAAAAATAACTAATAATATTTGTCTTCTATGGAGAAAGATAATAATTAAAAGTGTTTGATAAAATATACTACTTTTCTATCATTTAATGTTGTTGAAATAATGTATTAAAACAAATATTAAACCTATAGGAAAAGTTACATGGAAACTAATGAAAATATGTGAAAATAAATTAAAAAATTATTGCATAGTGTGAAAAGAACTACACTATAACTAACAATACATATGTAGCTTATAAATAGTATCACTGTTTATTCTATATTTTGTAATAATTAGAATATTGGATTAGATGTGTGTGTCAACAAAGCAAATCATGTAAGTCAAAATAAAACAGCACTGCTGATTTGCAAAAGATCATGGAAAAGTTACAAAAGTCAAGAAGAGAACGTCATTTTCTCATTCTCCTTTGTATCTTCTATATTATATAAAAATAACCATTTTTCTAAAGTAATAATAAAGTGTAGTTAAAAATTTTTACTTCTTCCTATATAAAAAATTAAAATAAATAAATCAAGATTAAGTAATTGCATTTCATTATTTTTTTTTTTAGTAACTAGCCATAGCATATGTCAACCTTAGCTCGCATAAAATTTAAAGTGAGCCATATTGCTCATAACTTACCCAAAAAAAAAAAAGGTAACATTTCTTTTATAAATTTGAATCAAATCAACTCATGTTAAATTATAATTATTATTACAATTTAAAATTTAATCCAATTGTTTCTTCAAAAGGAAATAAAATTTTATTGATATTGTTATTTAATTTTAACTGTTAGTTACATAATTTTTTATTGCATTATTCCATTTTTAACTACTATAATATTATATAGCTAATCATTTAAATTGAATAGAATATATCTATATATATATAGGCATAATTATTTCAAACAAATGACAGATTAAATTATGGAGGCAGAAACAAGAAAATTGCTGTTTGTGGGGAGGGATTTAAATCTCATCAAACATTAATTATTTCCCATCAATAGTGCTCAAAAATTGATTTTTTTAGATAAGCTTTCTCTTTATAATTAATAATATTGAGAGAGCATATGCGCAACTTAGTAATATTCTTCTCACTTTGATTATTATATGTCGATGTGTGTGTGTGTGTGTGTGAAATATATAATAGAGATGGGTGGCCAAGTTGCTTGTGATAATGATGTTGATAAGCAAATAATAAAAATTTACCAAAGGAAATAGTATAATTTTTTTTTTGGTAGAAAAGGAAATAGTATAATTTGATGAGTGCTTGTTGGTAGTTGGTTTTTTGGACATGTTAGTACATAACACATACATGCGTGGTTCCCATGTAATTATTAGCAAATATAAAAAAAATAATAAATAAACATAAAATCTAATACAGTGCATCTTTAATTTTAAATTCATAAATTTAATAACCAGCTTTTTATACTGGGAAAAATATAGTGGCCCAAATCATTGTTGTCTCCTAGTTTTTGTTTCCTTTGGAAAACAAAACTCTGTTGACACTTTTGGCAGTATTTGCTATTTACACTTTTCCTTGTGTTTGTGCATTTGAATTGCTGCATATAGAATCTTAACGTCTGCCTTACGCTTAAGGAATTATGGGTTGGCCAAGTGCTTCATATAATGACATATGATGTAATTTGTGTCTAGAGATCAAATAATTTCTTACTTTGAAAGTCAGAGAAAATGATACTTTTTCAATTTAAAAAAATATTTAATCTTTTTTGGAGAATTGAAGTTAAGTATCAGAACATTAAATTAATAACAGTAAAATCCTTGACACAATAATTTCTCAAATATAACCTGGAAATATCTGTCTAAATAGGAGAGGGGTGTCTCCTTTGCTCTTACTTCAATTTCCCTCATTTTTGCTTTATCACCATTAGATTAATGCTTTTTCAAACGGTTGATATTTAATTTTTCATAAAATTATTATTATTATTTTACATAAAATTTGTAAATAGAATATCATAGTTTTAAATTGTTTTGATCAAAATTTTAATAGTTCAAATATATATTTATATGTAAAATTAAAATAATGATTTTACCAAATATTAAACCAGAACCATTAAAGTTTTGATCTAGCAATGGTGAAGAGAAAATGAGGAAAATAGAAAATAAAGAAAAAGGAGACATCCTTCCCCGATCCAAACAGAGACTAATTTAGACGAGGTAAGCATACATTTTACATAAAATCTTTTTAAAACTTATATTGTTTTTATGTGTTAAAGATAATAAAACTAATTTTAGCCCCCCGGTTCTAATGTACTCTTGCATTTTGACCCCTCCCCCAAGATTCAGTTCTAGTCTTCTAGATGAATCCTTGGATCCAGATAATTACAAATTTAAAATTTTTAATTGTAAATAAGTATTTAATTATTAAATAATGCAACTCTTATATTGTAACAAAATTTTTTTATCTGTGTTTGAATAGATATTTGCAACTCATTTTTTCAAAATTTTTGGGAAGAATCTAATCATTATTAATTCAACTTTTTTAGACTTAATTAACATTCTTTCTTTTTTTTTTTCCTTTTCAAATCCTTAAGTCCTTAATTCCAATGAAACTTAAGATAAGTCAATGATGATAGACACTATATACTTTTTATATTTTAAATTGATATTGACAACTATGTATAAACATTGTAATATTGGTATCAAATTTAAATAATCTAAATATACTGTGACAGAGCATAGCACTATTATTAACTATATTATGCTGCTGATACAAATAAAACATCATAAAATCCAAGGTGATGTTGGTAATACCAACTTGGTATTAACGTTAATAGTTAATATCAAAGTATATTGTTGTACTACACACCATATATGATTTAAATTTTCTTCAATACTATTTTTTCTGGTGTATCATTAATTTAATAGAATTTAACTTTGTCAGTAATTATATTAATTAATATGAGCGTATATATTCCATATAACAGGAGTGTTTAAGATGCCCCGAAGGAGGCTTTTGTCTCATTATAAAGTGGATGCTAGCAGGAACAGGCTGCTTACGGTGTCGTGCAACGCAGAGGATATGCTACTCCCACGCAGCAATTTTACATTTTGCGGTAAGTATGAATTTTTTAAATAGCACCATCGATGGTTCTTTTCTGTCATATTTTCATGGTAGGGACTAAATGGCTAAATGTGTAAAGTTCAGGTACTAAATTACATAACAGTATGAAAGTTGAGGGAGTGACTTGAGATATTTTTGAAGTTCAGAGACAAATCTACAAACTAATGTATCGTTTAGATTTTCCATTCTTTTAAAAATATTTAATGTATCCAATATTATCAACTCCATTATAAAAAATTATTGAATAGACTTAGTGCACCACCTCATTCATGCTCTATCTAATAAAATTATAATATAAATTTAATGAAATAAAATATTATATGTCATTATTTTTATTTAGTTTATTTTTATAATAGAATGATTATTTAATTTTAATTTTTTCACTTTAGTATAAATAACTATAAAATTAACTTATATTTAATGTTATTTGAATGTCTAGATAAAACATATATGACAATTAAAATAAAATTAAATATGATTCCAGGCCCAAGCCAGCAAGTTGGTGTAGTGATGGTGATTTATTTTTTTATTTTTTATTTTTGGGCTATTGCAGAATATGATTCCAAGTTCAAGTTAATACAGAGACAAGAGTTCAAGATTCCTGACCACTTGATGATCCACGATTGGGCCTTCACGGACTCTCACTATATCATATTTGCTAATCGCATCAAACTCGATGTGCTTGGTAATAAGCTTCCCAGTTCCCCCATTTCTTATTTTATTTAATTTTATTACTAACATTGAAAATGCAATATAAATAAATAATTAAATGTTTTAAATTAAAGTTTATTGTCCTATTTATAACTGAAAATGGAAGCGCAGGGTCGATGGGAGCTGTGTGTGGATTATCGCCAATGATATCGGCATTAACAGTGAACCCAAGTCAGCCCACATCTCCTATTTATCTGCTGCCTCGCTTCCCAAACTCTTCTCCTACTCCCAGAGACAGGGACTGGACCGTCCCTATTCAAGCTCCTTCTCAGCTCTGGCTCCTCCACGTGGCCAATGCCTTCCAAGTCATTTCAGACGATGCTGAGGGCAATTTGGACATTCGGATCCAAGCCGCTGCTTGCTCTTACCAATGGTTCAATTTCCGCAGCCTCTTCGGTAAGTTGATTGATGCCCGTACTATCCTACCATTATTGTAAAGATTTTTTAATTCTTAATATAAGATATTAAATAAAATATCAATTATATTTTGTTAATATTATTTTTATTTAAATTTATTAACTAAAAGGAAGGAAGTAATGTAAATTTTAAAATATTCATTTAAATAAAAATGAAATAAAAAATTATTATATTTTTAAATAAAATTAATAACTTAGTCTCTCTTTGATTTCTGTGAGTAATTAAAAGTTCATTATAATGGGGACTGGTGATGGTACTTTATTATTGTATATTCCCTTCATTTATATATATATATATATATATATAAAATTATATCACATAATTTAAGAAAATGTATTAACTATAATAATTATGTATGAAATTAAAAAAGTAAACTAAAATGCTCTATATTAATTAACATAATCATATATTAATTATTTTTTATTAATGTAAATTATAAAGAGTAATTTAAAAAATATATAATAAATATTTATTGAAATGAGTGATTTTTCTTATGAGAAAATACAAATCAAAAGTGATAGTTTTTCTAACAATAAAAAATGGAGGAAGTATTTTTTATATAACTAATTAGCAGAAAATAAATAGAGGCATTTAAGTTATTTACATTGTCTAAATTTTTTATTAATTTATCATTATTGAATGTATTATTTTTAAAAACATTTTTTCTCTCATATGTAACCCCTTGCCTTACTCATAAAAAATGTGAAATTGAAAAAATAATCAATTGTTCATGGTTTTATGGAAAGTCACTTGCAAGAAGGATTATCAACTTTTTTTTTTTTAAGATGACTTATATAAAGGATTGAGAGAGTATTTTACAAAGAGAATATATTTTTATACAATTTTTAATTAACAAAGAAATGTTTTTTTTTTTTTTTTATACATATGCATCAGGATACAATTGGCAACGACAAAAGCTTGACCCTTCAATTATGAATGTGAAAGAAGGCGAAAATGAGTTGCCTCATCTTGTTCAGGTGCGTGACCTTCTTCATGCATGGACCGGGCCCATTTTCATAGTAGGCCCAGTGTTTTAGCACAAATGTAAATGATTATTAATTTCAGGTGTCAATAAAGCTGGATGGTGATGAGAAATGCGAGGAATGTAGCGTGAAGCGAATGAAAGAGTGGAAAAAGTCGTCAGATTTTCCAGTGACAAATCCATTATTTTCCGGGAAAAAGAACAGATATGTATACGCAGCAACAACATTGGGATGTCGCAAAGCATTGCCACATTTCCCATTTGACACAGTGGTGAAGTTGGATTTATTAAGTGAATCTGCCCAAACTTGGTCTGTTGGAACTCGCAGATTTGTTGGTGAACCTATTTTTGTTCCCAAAACTTGTGATGATGATGATGATAGAGAAGACAATGGATACCTGCTCGTAGTAGAGGTCAGCAATTTTATAATTTGATAAATTAATTTCGTTCATTTTTTCCTTAACATGAATTAATTTCCCTCACATACTCCCTCCATCTTAAAATATAAGACATTTTTAAACAAATCTCATATTTCAATAAAGTAATTAATTACTTTCAAACTAACTATATCTTTCTATATTTATCCATATTAAATACTCTATAATAAATACTCCCTCCGTCCCAAATTATAAGACACTTCTGAAAGTGATTTATTGTCCCAAAATACAAGATTCTTTGATAAAATTAATGTTTCATTAAATAGGTTTATTCCAATATTATCCTTTATTTCTCTCTATTTAATACTAATTATATGTAGATTTAAAATTATTAAATGAAGGATATTTTTGAAAGTTTATATTTTTATTTTGAAAAAATAAGGTTGTTAAGTATATTTAATAAGATTGATATGTGAGATTTTGCTTAAAAGTATCTTATAATTTGGGACGGAGGGAGTATAAAGCCACTATTAATAGAGATACTTTAAAAAAAATAATGATTACATTTCAAAAGACTAAAAATACCTTACATTTTTTAACATCCAACTCTTTAAAAAATACCTTATATTTTTAAACAGAAGGAGTAACTTTTATGTTTAATTTTTCTATTATTAAACGCCCATTTTTTCCTTTTCTTTTTAAAGTTTCCCTATAGTGATAAATTGAAAATTTCTTTTCAACCATAGCGTGAACCATTGGCTTTGTATAAATGATGAAGAATAGTAAGTCATATACTTTTTATGATTAGTGGAATTGAACTGCTTGCTATGAAGTATTCTTTCTAATTTTTATTCTAAAGTCATTATCTTTGGTCTTTATTATCTGGTCCTCTATAAGCTGGCTAAAACTTTATTTCTAAATACATTTTGTTTTGATATTTCCTAATTAAATAAACAATGTTCTAACTAATTAACTCATTGTATTGGGGATAATTTTGATAATTCAAAAGTAATGATTAATTTTTTTTCTGAATTTATTGATATATTTTAAGTTGTTAACAATATTGAATTGAATAGTTAAGATCAGGACATTTTCTAAGCCAAATTTACATAACATGCATAACATATATATGTTTATAAATATTTTATACACATACATCGGATATCATCAATATCATTGTGTATTATTTATTCATCATGAACAATGCAACTCATCTCAAATTCTATATGAAGTATGGCATGTGATCTAGTTTCGGGAAAACAAATATTGGTTTATGATTTTTTTAAAAAATGTTAATTGTGATTTTGTGTTTTGTTTTGGATCATTTGTGCAGTATGCTGTGGCAATGCAGAGATGTTATCTGGTTATTTTAAACCCAAAGAAGATAGGAGCAGGCAATGCCCTTGTGGCCAGACTAGAAATCCCAAGGCATTTGAATTTCCCTCTAGGTTTTCATGGATTTTGGGCCCCTGAGAATAAGTTTTAATTTGATGTATTCATATTATGATTATCATATTATTCTTTTATACTCCCTCCATTTAAAAATATAAGGCATTTTTTAAAAAGTTGAATGTTTAAAAATATAAGGTATTTTTAGTCTTTCGAGATTTAATCATTATTTTTTTTTCAAAAGTACCTCTATTGATAATAACTTTATATTTATTGTAGGATATTTAATAAGGGTAAATATTGAAAGATAAGATTAGTTTAAAAGTAGGTAATAATTTTATTAGGAGGTAAAATTTGATTAAAAATACCTTATATTTTTAAATAGAGGGACTATCTTTGTAACATTAATATTGTTATTTGTAATCGATCAATATACAAATGTTAGTATGTAATATACAATATGATGCACTATTCAGCTTATTTCTCAGTCTCGATATAATGCACATCATCATATCTAGTTACATGTCCAACTATGAGTATCCATATAGTTGGCAAATTTGAAGTAAAAAGCATGAAAATAATTTCTTTCTTTCTTTTTTTGTTATGAGGCCTCTGGCCCAAACCAAAAGGAATTTAAAAAAACGTATCTTCTTGGGTATTTGCTAAGACAAATCTCCAAATTGCTTGTTTTCATCTACTTATATAATAAAGCATGTCTGATTATAGTAAATCTGCAATTGAATATATACAATAACAACATATTTATTTTGCCAAGAATCATTTGGTTCAATGGAATGAACATTCCTTCTTGATATAAGCGGTTGTCAATTCTATCCTCTATAGGCCCAAACATGACTAAAGATTTAAGTTTGGCAGGTGTGTATATGAAAGTTAATAAGGTGTTTGTGTTGTTATATGTCAGGTAGATGAGTGTTGCATGTATGTGGGATCCCCTTTGGGGAAGCGTTAAATAGGTTAGATGAAAAATAAAAATTAGATAGTTATTTTGCTGATTTACAATGGGAGAGACAGGAAGTTGGCTCCCTAATTTTTTTTTAATTTTCTTCCAAAAAAAATATAAGAGTTATATATTTTCAGTCCTACTAAAATATATTTGTATGTATTTCATACTAAACATAATATTTATTTTCCTTTTAATATCTAAAACGTATGTGTTCTTTATATATAATATATCCTAGTAGGAAAGTTTCCCTATTTGAATTGAGAGTATATAAATATAAAATAGGGAGAATGACATTTTAGTCTCAAAGAATTGATTAATGTGAATAAACTCTCAAGAAATATTAAAATGATACTAAATTCCAATCATCCTTTGACTTCCAAAACACATCATATTGGGAAGTTGAACACCCAAACACAATTTAACCATTTTTCAACACTTTTATACAAAATGGATGTCCAAACCCTCAACAAGTGCCAAAAGTTTTTCCTAACACCTGGACCATGTCCAATGGACTTAGGACTACTAGTACAACACGTCACAAGCATCGAAACATCATTATAATTAAAATTTCGCTCCTCAACTCCAATTTACCAAAAGTAAAAAGGGAGGTAAAATAGCATTGTATTAAACTCAAATCATTTGAAACATGCTCAAACTTCAATTCTACACTTGCACTAATATTTTAGCCCTATAAACATATATATGACAAAAATACACAAAGGCTAAGGGCTCAAAATATAATTTTAACATTTCTAAACCAAATAGTGCAAGTATGGGTAGTATGCATTCTAGCATTGAAAATTTATATGCTATTACACAAATACATCAAAACTAGAGGCATACAAGAAGGAATGTACTAATTCCCCACCTCTTTAGTCTTCTCCCTATCAACACCAAAGTTAAAGCCTGAAAATTATTAAATAAGAGGGGTGAGTCTAGCCACTTAGTAACCAAAGTTAAACCTACCCTATGCAGTTATATATTAATTATAAAGCAAAAACATGCACAAGAAAATCAAATTTATAAAACATATCCCATATATCACATTTTATCATTTATCACTTTATAGCTTCATTACTCACATAGCTAAGTGCATTATCGCCATATTCTCATATATGTGACGAGACCCCTACTCTTGTGACTTGTCACCACTTAGCATGTGTGACACATCATGTATTTACTTAGGCAATGATCAACTAACCTTATATCTTCCTTATTTTCTTAGACCGAAACCGTGAGTTATAACACTGATTAGGGCTCTGTTCGTGTGAGTAGACTACCCAAGCTCACCAATCCTGAGGTGTGACCCAGTTAAAGATCACAGGACTCACTCTTGGACCACGGCCTTCTGCATTCTCAAATCCCTGGGGTGTCTTATACCCTAGGCTATTTTTCTTATTGAACCGGTGGAGATATCTAGGTTCTAGTCCCTCAACAAACTATGAGAAAGTCCCTTGACAAACAGTGGGATAAGACTATAGCCCCCGCGTACTAGAGGGCAGCCTAATTACCATATGAATTTTCTTTACTCCCAAATCCCTAGGTGAATTCCCACCACTGATCATCCCAAAAACCATACTCACCTGTTCTCACTCTTTTGCTTTCATTTACTCACTATACTACAATCACATTAGGCTTATGACCTTGCGCTACCTAAGTGTGTATCTCTATCCTTTTCTAAAATTCATTTCATGACTAACGCAAAAATATCTCTACTCATCATTGCATTCATTTTTAAAACATAAGCATTTTTATAATCAAATCCTTTTGACTTTGCATTTTGCATTTCAAGCCAAAATAGCATTGTGCTCAATCAAATGTTCATACACTCAATGAAAACTAATGTATAGTGTTACATAAAAATCAATCTCCTGCATGTAATATTCACCATTAGCATTTAAACAATCAATTAACATACAACTACCCAAAGTAGAGTTTTCTCTTAGTTACTTCAAACCTTTGAGAGTTCAAAGGTTTACCCCTCAATTAACTAGCTTCCAAGCTTGAATTTTTACTCCAATAGGTGATCAAGAGCCAAAGCTACAATCGACCAATTTGAATTCCATCAACATAACAAAATCAACCATTTGAAACTCTCAATCTTTACTTCTAAATTGCCCAACCTTCACTTTACGAGAGGTGGAGCCTAACCATTGAGTTTAATAATTACCTTTAGCCTTCAATAGCATTAATGAGCCATTAAATCCCCATTAATGGCATCATAAACTTTTAACTACCCATAATAAATGAGATTTTTGGGTATTTATGGTTCCCAATAACCCAAAACACTAAACTCATCATACTTAGGTTTAAATACTCTAATCTACCCCCATTAATTCCATTTGAGCTAATAAATTTAGACCTATAACCCATATGGACTGAAATCTCATTTTCACTATCAAACCTTAACCATAAACTCCTAAATGTGGAAGAAAAGGGGAGATTAATGAGTATGATACTTACCTTAGGTGTTTATAACCTTCAAAATACTCACAAAGTAGTCCCCAAGCAAACCCTAACAGAGCTTTGGCGCACCTCTTCTTTCTCTCCTCTCTTTTCTTTCTTTTTCTGTCTCAATTTGCATCTGATAAAGTGCAAAAAATGGCCATACACCATGGCGGATACACAACGTGCCATGGCACATAGTATAGAGAGGTCCTCCCTCGCTCAAAGATGGTTGTGTGTCACGGCGGATGATCTACGCGTCGCGGCGTGTGGCATAGCAACTTCAACTCTTCTTTTTCTTCTCTTTTTCGATGCCCGAGTGGCTCGCCTTGATACGGAACCCACAATAGGGCTAAAATACCATCAAATATAGTTGTTAGATCTCTCTGGCCACATACCACTTTAATTTACTAAATTACCCTAATTAAATTTAATTAATCAGGGAATTAAAACTCAGGATGTTACATGGCTTAGAAAAGATATTGCCATCATTAGAGTGGGTGAACTTAGGTTGAAGATGATCTCAGGCTGCTTTCTAAATAAAGGTCTTGATCTTCTTATATGTTGGCCATTTCTAGATTTTCAATCAAATCTTAGAGTTGGGATTGTTATAATGATTATTGATAGCCTTATAAGCAGATTTGATGGTAAAGCTGCCATCATTAGAAGATCTTTAATAAATAGTATCATTGTCAGCATTGACATTAGTAGGCTAAACAATGATGTGTTTAGTGACGTCTTGATGGGGATATAAGAAATTTTTAATCCAAGTAATCATAAATGTAGGCTTTGAAATATATAATTATAAATTCAAAATATACTATAATTTAAAATTTATAATTTGTGAAATATTTTTCCTAAAAAATTTAGTTTTAGGGTGTAAAATAGGTATTGATAATAGTTTTATCCTGAAATTTCAAAAAAAATCCTTTTTAAAATTTTGTTTAGGAATTGAAGGGTTTAAATTTATGGTGGCAAATAAAAAAAAAATGTATGCACAGATAGGAGGAGAGGGAGAATGTTTTGGAATCTAGTTACTATTTTATGTATTACATGTGATTGTGAGAGGAAGTTAGGAAAGGACGCATGACATTGGCTACAAGGAAGGACAATGTTGCCTTTCCCTTTTTCATGAAAGGATCATCGGGACTTGGGTAAGCATTTTTCAATTTCTTGAAACTTTTTCACATTAAATCAGTCTTTTGGACTAAAATGTCATTCTCTCTATAATATATACATACTATGCTTTTGCGGTTTGCCTTTGACAATTTAGTGCCGTTGCCCATTATCCTTTAAGTTTCAAGCAATACCTCTTCTAAATTTTTTTGCTATTTTGTTTGTGTATGCAGTCTATATTTTTTTTTCTCCTTTTTACTGAATTGAAGACCTTGGCTTGGCTGCAATCTCATGACCTTAGGCCCTCCAATTGAGTGAATATAAGGACAAGGTCAAGGTGAGCCATTCCAATTTTACATGCTTTGCTATTTCAATATTTATGATTTGATTGTACAATTTGTGTTATGATTTGCAATACCTTATATTTATTTAATATATTATGTAATTTGTGTTATGATCTTCTAGTTTTTTATTCCTTTTAATATTTTACATAATATAATTTACAATCTATATTTTTTTTAAGATTAAAAGATCTCTAAGAAAAAACACTATTAGTTCATTTTTCAAGAGGAAAGAGATAAATGATGAAAAAACACTATTTACAACTATGGAGCAACTTGTCCAACCACCTCCTTTCAAATCTATGAGGAT